AAGTCAAGTGAATTAAACTATTTGCTTAGCAAATACCATGCCTGGCCTTGCTGAAATATGGATTCTTTTCATTAATTTCCCTCTGAGTGTGCCTTTTTTCTGTTCCTCTTAATGCCTTTTATTTTCTTGTTAAATAGTGGAAACTTTACATATTAATCAGTGTATCCAGAAAACAGATTTCTGCCCTCCAGAGTTGCTTAATTTTGGTGGTTGTTTACTTGTTAGGTAGCCTTCTGAAGATATTTTTGCAGTCTGCATTCTTTGGTATGTATGACCAGTTAACCTGTGTTCTGTCACCCCATTGTCCATCTACTATTTTTGACACACATTTAGTAAACACTCCAAGCAAAAAAATTTTGGAAAGAGAGAGGGAAGAAAGAAAAGAAAATCTACCCAGTTTTTGCAGATTGACTCTCTGAGGAACGCTAATGTTTAGCCTAAGGTCTGGGAAAAGTGAGAGATTCAGAATCTTCTCCGGGCATGCATCCAATATTAGACCTACGTATAATCTCCTAAATATACCAGTAGGAGCCTGGATATGACGGTTCATACCAGTAATTCCATCACTTTGGGAGGCTTAGGTGAATGAATCACTTGAGTCCAGGAGTTTGAGACCAGATTGACAACATGGTAAGACCTCAAACTCTACAAAAAAAATAAGCTGGGTGTGGTAGCCCATACCCATATGGTGGGAAGCAGAGGTAGGAGGATAAAGTCCTGAGAGATTGAGATGTTCAGGAGGCTATGGTGGGAAAATCGCTAGAACATAGACGGGTTGAGACTGTACTGAGCCACGATTATGCCACCGGACTCCAACCCGGGCCACACGGCAAGACTCTGTTTAAAAACCAAACCAAAACCAAATCTAACAACAACAAACAGAGAGATTTTCAAAGCTGATTTCCACATCTATTTTTCTACTTTGCTACTTTACGTTTAGAAAGATTTTCTTTGGAAACAGAGTCTCACTCTGTCATACAGGCTGGAATGCAGTGGTGCCATCACAGCCTACTGCTGTCTCTACAGTCTGGGTTCAAGTCATTCTTTCATCTCAGGTCCTGAGTAGCTGGGATTATAGGCATGTGCTACCATTCCCCAGATAATTTTTTGTATTTAAGTAGAAAGGGGGTTTCACCATGTTGACCAGGTTGAGTAGCCAGGATTATAGGCATGTGTCACCATGCCCCAGAAAAGTTTTGTATTTTACTAGAAAGGGGGTTTCACCATGTTGGCCAGGCTGATCTCAAACTTGATTTCAAGTCATCCCCCACCGCAATCTCCGAAAGTGCTGGGATTACAGGCATGAGCCATCACATCCAGGCTGTTTAATAAGATCTTATTCAAGGCGGCTTCCATCTTTATCATGAGAGCCATTCTCTCTTTCATGTAATAAGAAATAGTTTAGAAATATATGTATTCCTTAAGAATTTTAAGTGATATAACTAATATTTTAAAGTGTATATATATCTATCTAATATTTTAAAGTATATATGTGTGTGTGTGTGTGAATGTATATATATATACATGCATATTGCCAGGCACTGGTAATTGCAACTACTTGGAAGGCTGAGGCAGGAGAATTGTTCAAACCCAGGAGTCAGAGGTTGCACTGAGAAAATATTTCACTATTGCCCTAAAGCTATGGAACTAAGAGCAAAATTTTATCTCAATACTATACTACTGCTGCTACTTATAATAATAATAATAATAACAGTAAAACAATTCTGACTTCAAATTCTTTTCAGTCAAAAGTTAAAGGGAGGGGTGTGGGGTTTAATAGGTTATCTCTACTGTGTGCCACCCAAGAGGCAAAAACTAACTTGTCTTATGACATAACCGTTATATGGAAGGAAATAATATCTTTTTAAGAAAACAAATTAAAAATGAGTATTCATGTGGGATGAAATATTCTCCTTTACACTGCCATATATGTCTATTATTAAGAGACAAAACAACCCTTAATAGATAAAAATTTATACTAAAATCTTGACTTCCCCTTGTTTCAGGGAAATCACAAAAATATACATTTTGAATTTTACTCCTGATTATTAAGTCATCGAGTGATTCTACCTACCAAAATTATATACCTAGGCCATCAAAAAGCTTAGAACATTGCATACAAAAATGAATAAAATCCATTATAGCTGTGATAACAAAAAAATGGTAAATTCAATTGACAAAACCTGGAAATAGCTACAACTCTCTTTGTACTGATTACACAAATAGAGAAACCAAACTTAGTACGAGAGCACTTCTTTCATTAAAAACTCTTGCACAAATTCTGCTATTACTTAATATCTCCCAGGTGTATAGGGTATTCTGCAAGCCTTTTGGTCTCAGAGGGTTTAGTAAAGAAGCAGGGCAAAAAGAGGTCTTTCTGTAGGTGATCGAACCAATGGCCTAATAATAAGTTGTCAGGGATCAGAGTTAGTCTAAGGGTAATAAGATAACACTAAAATTTAGCCTCAAGCAGAAATCTTCCATTTCCTTAGGATCAACTTTACATCCCATGTGATTGCCAAGCTTTTTTTTTTTTTTGCTTTGGGTGAATTTTATTTTATTTTTTAATTTTTTATTGGATTTTAGGTTTTGGGGTACATGAGCAGAGCATGCAAGACAGTTGCGTAGGAACACACATGGCAGTGTGCTTTTCTTTCCTTCTCCCCTTCACCCACATTTGGCATTTCGATTGCCAAGCTTTTTATGAAAAAATACTAGATTGAAACTAACAAGACCTTTTGAAATGAATGTGAAAATTGAAGGTCTAATCTTACTGTTCGGATAAACTGTTTTCTCTCCGCTTATGTACCAATATACGTTGTAGTCCCACCAAAAGCACCAAGTAACAGTATCTTTTTTTCTGAGATTATATACAAAGATCTTTGTCTTATGTCCAAAAAATAAATAAGTAAATAAATAAGAAGCTCAGTCACAAAGATGAGATAAAAGCAAAGGAAATAAGTACAAGAAAACTCTGCCAGTGAAAAGAAGGACCCAAATATGTTTTTCACTATGAGGCTGGTGCTATGGGTTATCAAAAACCATAAAGAGAATAAAATGTGCTTAGTCAATGGGCTGTTTTGAAGAATACGTGATTCAGTTTGACCCAGGATCTTGGCTTAACACTAATTAGACACCTTAGAAACTTTTTCCGGAAAAAAAAAAAGGGGGCTGAAGTCCTAATTTATAGGAACGCTGGACACCTTTGGGTGTCAACCCTGCACGGCGGCCACGCCGGCCTTCCGTGTATCATCCCAATTTTAATGTAGGTGCTGCCAAAAAGAGTGCATGCCATGCTCGGCTCAGCTTTTGTATTTTTTTTTTTTTTTAATGTTTTTCATAGGGAGCGAGTTGCGCTGTGTCGTTCAAGGCCAGTCTCGAACCTGTGACCTCACGATCCACTCGCCTCGGCCTTCCAACGTGCTGGGATTATGGGCGTGAGCCGCTGAGCCCAACCCAAGCTTTCTTTTCGTTTTAAAGACGGGGTTTCAACATGTTGGTCGGGCCGATGTCGAAACCGCGACCTGGGGTGATCCGCCCACCTTGGTCTTCAAAGCACTTGGATGACAGGATCACGTGAGCCACCGTGCCCGGCCGGCTGACTTTTATTGTTAAAAAAGAAATCAGAGCGACTGGGCTGGGCTCTGTGACTCACGCCAGCAATCCTAGCACTTTGGGAGGCCGAGGTGGGAGGGTCACCTGAGGTCACGAGTTCGAGGTCAGCCTGGGCATCTCGGTGAAAACCCACCTCATTTAAAAAAAGAGAAAGAGAAAAAGGAAAGAAATCAGAAAAACCAGTGTGTACAATTGTAAAAAAAAAAAGAGGTGCTGGATGACTCCACCCTCCACCTTGCCTTTCTTTATGACGTAGCGTTTCGCCCTTATCACCCAGGCTGGAGGGCAACAGTGCAAGCTTTGCTTATTCCAACATCTGCCTCCTCGGTTCAAGTGATTGCCCTGCCGCAGCCTCCCAAGGAGCTAAAGTTGCAGGTGTCCTCCACACCACCAAGTCCAGCTAACATTTTTTTTTTTTTGTACTTCAGACCTATCTGTATTTGATTTCTACAAAACACCAACAACGGCAAAAATATATATACATATACCGAACGCGGCACACCTTTGCGTGTCTTCCTTGCGCGGCGGCCACACCAGCCTTCTGTGTATCATCCCAATTTTAGTGCAGGTGATGCTGCAGCGAGTGCATGCCAGGCCCAGCTCCGCTTTTGTATTTTTTTCTGTTTTTATGTTTTTCACAGGGAGCAGGTTGTGCAGTGTCGTTCAAAGCCAGTCTCGAACCTGTGACCTCATGATCCACATGCCTCGGCCTTCCAAAGTGCTGGGATTACAGGCGTGAGCCGACGAGTCCAACCCCAGTTTTGTTTTCGTTTTAAAGACGAGGTTTCACCACGTTGGTCGGGCCGGTCTCGAGCCTGCAACCTCAGGTGATCTGCTCGCCTAGGTCTTCAAAGCTCTTGGATGAGAGGCTCACGTGAGCCACCGTTCCTGGCCGGCCGACTTTATTGTTAAAAAAGAAATCCGAGGGACTGGGCCAGGCGCTGTGACTCAGGCCAGGAATCCTAGCACTTTGGGAAGCCAAGGTGGGCAGGTCACCTGAGGTCACGAGTTGGAGGTCAGCCTGGGCATCCCAGGTGAAAACCCACCTCATTTAAAAAAAGAGAAAAAGGAAAAATAGTAGACAGACTAGTGTGTACAATAGTGAAAAACGAGGTGCCAGATGACTCCACCCCCGCCCTGCCTTTCTTTTTAATGCAGTGTTCCCCTCTTGTCACCCAGGCTGGAGTGCAACGGTGGGATCTTGGTTTATTGCAACATCTGCCTCCTCAGTTCAAGCAATTGTCCTGCCCCAGAGTCCCCAGGACCAGACGTTGCAGGTGTCCAGGCCACCATGTCCAGCTAACTTTCTGTGAGTATAATTTTTTTTATTTACCTCAAATCTATCTCTATTTGATTTATACGAAACAGCCACAACGGCAAAAAGAAAAAATACGGAATGCTGCACACCTTTGCGTGTCATTCTTGGGCGGCGGCCATGCCGGCCTTCTGTGTATCGTCCCAATTTTTGTATAGGTGCTGCCGAAGCCAGCACATGTTATGCCCGGCTCAGCTGTTTTGCTTTTTCTGTTTTTATGTTTTTTATAGGGAGCGGGTTGCGCTGCATTGTTCAAGGCCAGTCTCAAACCTGTGACCTCACGATCCGCTCACCTTGGCCTTCCAAAGTACTGGAATTACAGGCATGAGCCACCAAGCACAATCCAAGTTTTTTTTCCTTTTTAAAGACCGGGTATCACCATGATGGTCAGACTGCTCTTGAACCTGCAGCTTCCAGTGGTCCGTCGGCCTTGGTCTTCAACGTGCTTGAATGACAGGCTCATGTCAGCCACAGTGCCTGGCCGGCAGACTTTATTGTTACAAAAGAAATCACAGAGACTGGGCCAGGCACTGTGACTCACGCCAGCAATCCTAGCTCTTTGTTAGGCCAAGGTGGGTGGGTCACCTGAGGTCACGAGTTCAAGTTCAGCCTGGGCATCCCGGTCAAAACCCACCTTATTTTAAAAAAGAGAAAGAAAGGAAGTCAGACAGATCACTTCTTACAATTGTAAAAAACGAGGTGCTGGATGACTCCAATCCCCGCCCCGCCTTTCTTTATGAGCTAGTGTTTCCCTCTTGTCACCCAGGCTAGAGTGCAATGGTCCGATCTTGGCTTATTGCAACATATGCCTCCTTGGTTCAAGCTATTGTCCTACCGCAGCCCCCCAGGTAGCTTGGGTTGCAGGTGTCCACACCACCACGTATAGCTAAATTTCCGTTCTTTTTTTCTTTTGTACCACAAATCTATCTTTATTTGTTTTCTACCAAACAGCCACAAAGGCAAAAACAAAAAAATATGGAGCGCTTTACACCTTGGCGTGTCATCACTGCATGGCAGCCACGCCTCCCTTCTGTGTATCATCCCAATTTTAGTGTAGGTGCTGCCGAAGCGAGCACATGCCATGCCAGGCTCAGCTTTTTTATTTTTTTCTGTTTTTATGTTTTTCATAGGAAGCAGGGTGCGCTGTGTCGTTCAAGGCCAGTCTCAAACCTCTGACCTCACGATCTGCTCACTTCGGCCTTCCAAAGTGCTGGGGTTATTGGCGTGAGCCACCAAGCCCAACCCAAGTTTTGTTTATGTTTTAAAGACGGGGGTTTCACCACATTGGTCAGACCCGTCTCCAACCTGCAACCTCGCATGATCCACCCGCCTTGGTCTTCACAGAGCTTGGATGACAGGCTCACATGAGACACCGTGCCCGGCTGGCCGACTTTATTGTTAAAAAACAAATCCGAGAGACTGGGACGGGCGCTGTGACTCACGCCAGCAATCCTAGCACTTTGGGAGGCCGAGGTGGGCGGGTCATCTGAGGTCACAAGTTCAAGGTCAGCCTGGGAATCCCATTGAAAACCCATCTCATTTAAAAAAAAAGAGAAAAAGAAAAAGAAAAGAAATCAGACAGAGCAGTGTATACAATTGTAAAAAACGAGGTGCCGGATAACTTCCCCCCCCACTCCGCCTTTCTGTATGATGTTGTGTTTCCCTCTTGTCACCCAGGCTGGAGTGCAATCTTGGCTTATTGCAACATCTGCCTCTTTAGTTCAAGTGATTGTCCTGCTGCAGCCTCCCAAGTAGCTGGGCTGGCAGGTGTCCACACCACAATGTCCAGCGAACTTCTTGTTTTTTGTACCTCAGACCTATCTGTATTTGATTTAACAGCCACAATGGCAGAAAAATTACGGAACACTGCACACCTTTGCATGTCATCCTTGCACGGCGGCCACACTGACCTTCTGTGTCATCCCAATTTTAGTGTAGGTGCTGCCGAAGTGAGCACATGCCATGCCCTGCTCAGCTTTTTTATTTATTTCTGTTTTTATGTATTTTTATAGGGAGCGGGTTGTACTGTGTCATTCAAGGCCAGTCTCGAACCTGCGACCTCACGATCTGCTTGCCTTGGCCATCCAAAGTGCTAGAATTACAGGCATGAGCCGCCGAGCCCAATCTAAGTTCTCACCCTAACCCTAACCCTAACCCCTCACCCTAACCCTAACCCTAACCCTAACCCTAACCCTAACCCTCACCCTAACCCTAACCCTAAGCATAACCCTGACCCTGACCTTGACCATGACCCTAACCCTTGGAAATTCTGCCAGCGTGGCATGAGGAGGTTCAGGATGGTCCCAAGAGAGACCAATGGGATGATCAGGGCCATGTTCAGGGTCTACTGTCAGCAGGAATAGACCTTAGCCTAATCGTAGAAAATAACACTGAAATCGGTACATGTTTTTTATATAATTGGTTTTCTCTATGTTGCCCAGGCTGGTCTTTAATTTCTGGCTTCAGTGGCTCCTCCTGCCTCAGCCTTCAGGAGCTCTGGGGTTGTTGTTGTGAGCCACGGTGCCTGCCTGAAATCAACATTCTCCAAACAAGAATATTTGTGGAAATGTGCCCCACACCTGTTTACTGTAATGTGACTTTGTCATGCTGTTTGGCTGTTATGCGTTTTGGGCGGATCATCAATCCTTGATGACTGATGATCAGTGATTTCTTAGGGCTTTGACAATTGACAAGACCTCCACTACGAAACAGTGGGAAGGAAACTGTCTCATCCGTGTTTTCTGCGAGAACGTCTGTGGTTTCAGTGGCTTGGATCCACAGTTTCTGGGAGCCCGGGACTAGTGATGTGGCCCTTGGGAGGTCCTGGAGGGGCTCCTCAGGCTTCCGCCTTCACGAAAGGTCCCGTTTTCTTCAGAGCTCAGACTGGCCGACATGGCCCTGGAGTCCGAGGGGAGTTTGTCCCCTCCTGGCAGCCATCACCAGTGGGGCACAGAGGTCACAGGGGCCGCATGTAAAAATGTTCCCAGTCTCCTCCTGCCAGGGCTGCACCTGTGCCTGGCTGTGGTCACCAAGAGCTCTGAGGTTGATGCCCCCAATGGGTGCTGGATGCCCTCTGCACACCCCAAATCAACAACGTGATCCCGGGGGACTGGGAGTGGATGGGCATAGGGTGCTCATCAGCCTCCTGGGATCCAGATCCACCCGTGGGCATTCGCGCTGGGTGTCGGGCGCCACCTGGTGGATTTTCCATGCACTTTCCTCGGAGTTCAGTCGCGGGCATTTGCTCCGTGAGTCGGACGCCACCTGGTGGACTTTCCATGTACTTTCCCCCGAGTTCCATAGCGGGTGCTTGCGCCGGGTGTCAGGCGCCACCTGGTGGACTTTCCATGTACTTTCCTTGTAGTTCCACTGGGAACTCTGTTCCCAGGACTGGGACACCCACCTTCTCCACGTGCAATCTTGTCACTGCAAGCGGGCCAGAGTTTCTCTCTCCCGAAAATTTAGGAGCTCATAAAAGCCTACAACCTGAACCTCCTTCCAGTGAAACCTGTTAAAAGATGAAGGCTTTTCAGGATGGAGATGAAATGGATGTCTCAGGCAAAATGGTCCTGCTGATCAGATATCTGGGAGGAAGCAGGTTCTGGGACCGCCCTCTGTGGGACTTTCCACAGTGGCTCTGGCTGGGAAGTGGGCACGGGAGGCAGGAGGCTGAGTGTGGGTCCTATCAGTGAACTGCCGGATGCACAGACTGAACCAAGGGGCATAGACTAGAGAAACTGTGCAGGACCCGACCAATCAGTTAACACGCCAGCCCAATGATGACAGAGCTGGTCCATCACTCATTACTCATTTCTTTATTTTTTGTTTTCTGCTTTTGTTTCTTTTGTTTAGGGGGTTTGGTTTTGGTTTTTGGGACAGGATCTCGCCTTGTCACCCAGGCTGGAGAGCAGCCTCAGCCCCCTGGGCTCAAGCAATCCTGCTGCCTCAGCGCCTGAGTAACTCGAACTGCATAATTAAGTTTTGCATGTTTTTGTATATGCAGGATCTCACTATGTTTCCCAGTCTTGTCTCAAACTCCTGGGCTGAAGGAATCCTCCTGCCTTGGCTTCTCAAAGCACCGGGATTATAGCTGCATCCACCACTCTCAGCCTCTGCACCCATTTCTTTCACAGTCCTCTGACCATGTGAGGTGGTCAACGATCACAGGCCCAGGCCTCCTGGTTCTGGTTAGCACAGCACAATACTGCTGGGCTGGCTCACTGTCCATGGCAGGGGGATGCAAGATCCAAGGTGCAGAGCGGTGGCCGGCTGGCAGGAGGCAGAGGGCCCATGGGCAGGGACCCATCTGCGTAGGCTAGCTGGCTGCACTCCAGGGTCTGGAATGACAAGTGTGGTGGGAGAGAACTGAACATGCACAAGCTGGGAGGTCAGCTGCAGCCAAGAGCACCTGGGTCTGGGTTCCTCCCCAGGTAGGCAGCCTCACCAAGGCGTGCCAGGTCTCTTGAGGTACCCTCCCTGCTGAATGCATGCAGTCTCCTCTGCTCTCCAAAGCAAAGTGTGGTCAGGTCAGGATAGGACACAGATGGAAGAGTGCTTTGAAATATGGGTCCTATAGGTTTCTTCCTGTCCTTGACAGCCAGAGTGCTCTCTCTCTTCTTGCAGTAGAACTCAGCACGGAGCTCTCCAAGGACCCGTGGGGCTGCCCCTCCACCCCAGCCCCACAGGTTCTTCCCCCTCCTCAGATGGAGCTGGGGCCAAGCCCCAGACCTGTGTAGCTGCACTTCCTTGGGACAATTAGCTGCTTCCAGAAAAAGTCCTCAGTTCACACCGAAAGGGGAAAATGGAATGAAGACACACCACAGGGGCCAACGACATTCCCAGCAAGGTTCAAGCATGACAGCAGCAGAAAGGACACAGGAGACTTTGATGCCATGTCCTGGAGACCCTCCAGTGACTAACAAGCCCTCTTTTTCTGCCCAGCTCAAGGACAATTACTGTGCCAGCAGAAAGTTGGTCTCTTGGTCACAGCTTCCCCATTAGGAAAACTTTCTTCTCTGTAACACCAAGGGACTGTGACCTCAGGCCTGGAGTGGTGCTTTCTGAGGAAGGCACACAGTGCAGGGTGGAGACTGTGGTGAACTGGAGGTTTTGGTGGGGGTGAGTGGGACAAGAGAGCAGCCTGTGGCCACACTGCCCCGAGGGAGCCCAACCTTATAGGCTGCCTTCTAAGAATGTACTGGGGAGTCCGGGAATGGCAGTTGGTGATTCCCAGGATGTAGGGGTCCTCTTGTATCTGTGTTGGAGATCAGGGCAGTGTCTTTCAGCAAGATTAGCAAAGGCTCAGTCCCCTTTGCCACACTCATTCCTGCTATTATCATGAAACAGTGAGGTCCCCTTTGTCACAATCATCCCCGCTATTACCATGAAACACTGAGGCCCCCTTTGTCACACTCATCCCCGCTATTGCCATGAAACGCTGAGGTCCCCTTTGTCACACTCATCCCCGCTATTGCCATGAAACAGTGAGATGCTTTCAAAAGCATGATTGGTGTCACCCTAGAGAGAATATAAGGAAAATCAATAGAAGAAAGCCCCAAACCTCTAAATAAACACAAGGTAGGGGCTAATCTTCCCTCCCCCATGATCTGGTGAGACTCAAAGGGGAACAGCCTCAAGGGACTCTGTGCACTTCCTGAGGCCCTTCATATAACACCAGTCACTGGGCACTGCCTGCCACACATGGGCACCTCCTCTGGGGGTGCTGCCACTCCTCAGCCTCCCCCACCCCGCCCCGTCTGTCTCTCTCCTTCAGGAACTCTCCTTTAGGCTATTCTTGGGGGCTGGACTCAGGGCTCAGTGAATGGGTGGCTTCAAATCTTTGGAGGCAGGTTAGCTTTGCTTGGCTGGCACCGCTGGGCACCCTGGTGACTCAGGCTGTGTGGGGCAGGTTGGGTCTGGGGAGGTGGGCAGCACTTAATGCTACTGACATGTAAGCTCAAAAATGGACTAAAATGTAAATCTTATTTAATGGGTATTTTCTCTCAGTTAGGAAAACCAATTTTCAGTACACCAGGAAACATTCTGGATGGCTTAGAAAGTGAGATTATAAGGCAAATGAAGCTCTGACTCATGACAAAACACAGATGAGTCTCAGAAACCTAATTCTAAGTGAAAGAAGCTAGACATGTACCTTAAAGGTAAGGCCATGTGCATTAAAGGCTATGTATTCTGGATATCTCACCTCCCCAGCCTGGGTGACAGAGCCAGAGCCTGTCTCAATAAAAAAGTGAACATGAGAAGCATATACTATTCTGCATGCTCTGTTTGGTTCAGGCACTGCTAACCTTTGTTAGAGATCAGTGAGGACCACCAAAAGAAGATTGCATAAAGCATGAGTTATTCAGCGTTTCCTCTAGCAAGGGTGTCGGCCACCGCTTGTCTATGGGTGGGGGGACTCAAAGGCCGAGAGGACTGGGGAGACTTCATGATGCAAAAAGGTGGCACGGCCTGATTCCAGGTGTGGCTGAGAAATCTGGAGGGGACTGACTGGAAGACAGCATCCTAGGTGATTGATTACAGAAACATATTTGACATTCCTCAGCTGGGTGTAAGGTGGAAGAGGAATTAGAAATGAGGGAAGCTGTCTGTCCCTGATTAGCTCCTAACTGCCTGGGGCTGATGGCTGCAGAGGTTGTGGTCTGGCTTTCTGGGCTGGTTGCTGCAGGTTGTGGGTCTCAGCCTCTGGGGCTGGAGCTGGCAATTCCCCTGTTCCTTGGTGGCTTTTGAAATTTCTGCAGACAGGAATCCCTCCTTTGTCATTTTCAATCAAGTGGATAGTTTCGGAGGACAAGGTTTAGTGGTTTAATAAGAACTAACAACAACAGTAAAGGTTTTAATAATAACAACAACAACGATGATGATTATTGCACAAACATGAAGATTTTACCACCTTGCAACTCAGATCCCACAATAAATATAAAAACCGCAGCTCACCTG